CCATCCAATTTATCCAAGGCCGGTATTTTATTGCAGAAAAAATTTTTATGCATTAAATGTTCAGGTCATATGTGACCATAATAAAAAAAATATAAATGTAAATGCTCGATACCCTGGATCAGTACATGATTCAGCCATTTGGATGATGTCTAATGTTCGGCAGCTCTTACATAGAGATTATATAAATAACAATTCAAAAGATTACCTACTGGGGGATAGTGGATATCCCCTCGAACCCTGGTTATTAATTCCAGTTGAAGATGCTGCCCCAGATAGTCCAGATATAAGATATAACACTGCACTTTCATCTGTAAGAGTTAATGTTGAACATACAATAGGATTAGTAAAAAATAGGTTTCGTTGTATCCATGGACAAAGAGCATTATACTATACTCCTAATAAAGTTGCAGACATAATTTATAGCTGTGTAGCTCTACATAATATAGCTAGAACCAGAGCAGTACCAATGCCTGTTGATGTCGAAGAGGAACCAAATTATGTAGAACTTCCAGTAAATATTAATCTAGTACCAGATGGTAATGATTGGCTCAATGTGGGAGTTATAAGAAGAAATCAAATTATTCAAAGATATTTTGTGAGATAATTTAGATTTAAGATTTGTTAATATATTTTTAAGTGCCTTTTGTTTTAAACAGGTTTTCCAAACCTTTAAAAAAGTTTGATAACTTCCTATTTTAATACTTGCAAAAATGTTTAAATTATAATGAATCCTGATCTCTAAATTTTAAAATGTTCTTGAAATGTATAAGGTGTCAGTACATATGTGGTGCAGCACAGAGTTGGATTTAAATTTTTACTTTATCATAAATATACACCCCTCAGATACCTATCACCATTCCTACCAACCTTCACTTTAGACCCCATAGCCTTTCTGTGTGGTTAAAGAGGCTAGAAAAATGTATAGCTGCCTGCTCCCCACAGGGAGTTAGAAACAAAAAAAAACATGACATTTAAAAAATAGTACAGCATTAGAAATACACAAAATTTATAGAATAAAAATTTATTCAAATATAGGCAACAAAGACAACGTAAAAACAAAATAAATATTTTAGGTCACTAATAACTTACAAACAAACAAAAATAATACAGATTCTAAAAAACAAAAAATGCAGATCCTCCTAAATAAAAAATGATGTATTTAAAATGTTAATGAAAATACTGGTCCTCTGTTCTTTTTCTTGCTCACACGTAACATAGTATCTGCTAATCTGTTATTGGAAGCTGCCAGATTATTTAGACACTGCTCATGGTTGATGGCGATATTGTTTATATTTTTTTCGAGCCTCTTTTTTTTTGGGATAGTACAGTCTTGCTCCTGTTTTAGACTAAAAAAGTCGTGTATTAAAAGTATGTAAAATGTTTGAAGAAAATTTATTTAACTCACTTGAATATTTTTTGACTGTAATGGGAGAAAGGTTATCAGCTGTAGAAATAGAAGGTGGATAATCCACAGTCGAAGTGGAAGGTAGATAATTAGCAGTTGAAGTGGAAGGTGAAAAATCAGCACTCAAAATGAAATGTGTATCACCAAAAGACGTAGATGGGATTACTTCATAATCGTCTAAAATAATTTCAATATTTTCAACCTAAAATAATTTAAAGTTTGGCATTATTGTAATCATTAAAATAGTTTAAATGTTATAAAATAAATTATATTAAAATGGTTGTCGCATCATGTCAACTTAGCACTCAACACTATCTCTAAAGAACTTTGTCTAAAAGAATTCTTAGGTTAGGTGATTTTTTTCATAACTGAATAATCTACAACCTTCTATTTTTTGTAAAATAGGGCAACCATGTTTGTGTATGTATATATTTATTTTTTAAACTGTTGATAAATTTTGTTATTCCTGTATTACTGTAATTCTTTTAAAAATTAATTGGCTGATATATCAAAGTAAATGTGCCAGGTTATGCTTTATAATTTACTTACATCTTCCATTTGATCAAGAGCATCAGGTTCAGGCATATTTTGAGTTTCTACATCTACACCAAATTCCTTAACTGTGGGAAGTCCTGTTATGACAACATTAGATAGTAAACCAAGCAATCTCTGCTCTAGATCTGTTAGGTCTTTTTCTTTCTTCGGGCCACCTCCTGTCCCTTTATGTTCAATATGTAGTAATCTTGCCTTTTTTCTTGCATTAACTTTCATATCAATTAAAGTCTAAAAATATATGTTTTCATTTCCACAGTATTATTCACAAACAAAATAAATCGTTATTCCTTACTGCATAACGATATATTACATAGGTACAAGAATAGCATACTTACATCTTTCCATTGTCTGATATTTTTTTTTTGCGCCTGATAAATTATTCAGCTTTTCCCCAAGGTCTCGCCACAAGTTTTTTATTGGTTCAATTTGCTGTGGGGACACTTTGGCATCCAACATTGCCCGGTGCCCCTCTAAGTACCAAATCAAATATTCTTTTTGAGTTTTGCTCATTCGCCCATTTTTCATTCGCCATTTTTTAAATTTTCTTCCATTATCTTAAAGATTTTAGTAGATAAAAAAGGACTAAACTGTGTGAGCAGAAACAATCCAGCGTGTGCAATACTCAGATAAATTATCTGAAGTGCAATACATCAGTGTTGCCACACCAATTAATTTTTTCGTAATAGAATTTTGAACCAAAAGGTAATAAAATCGTAATAGATAATATTTTAAAGTAACATAAATGTACCAAAACTATTATTAAATACATTTTTCTACGTTCATGCAAAAAACAAAACTTTATTGAACTATATTTAGTAAAAAAAACTGGGTCTTTATTGCACTAGTGCAATAAAAATTTTATTGCACTCATCTGTCATTTCACTACAGCGTTTTATGATCATGACAAACATAAATATTCAAATCAACGCCAAATATTTAGTCCATTTTAATTTTCTGTGTTACGTTTTAAAAACAATTGCATATTTTATATTATTTTCAATCATTTAATAAATATATTAATAAAAAGATGTATTTTATTAAAAATGTCATTACAAATTATGAACACAAACGTAAATAAATGCCTCAAACAAAGGTACACGATCACGGCTACTATGATTTGGATAATACAACTGCAGTTCTATAAAACATTTTTTGGGTTTTGCATGAACGTAGAAAAAATATTGTATGCAACTCGTACAAAAAGTGTTTATTGCACTCGACGTGTTGTCCAACTCGGCCTGACGGCTTCGTTGGACAATTTCACGTCGCGTGCGATAAACACTTACTTTTTGCACTTGTTGCATAAATAACTATTAACAATAAAACTTTATTATTTAGTTGAGAGGAAATTATTTCTGCTGCTGCAAAAGAATGGGGTAATGAAAATAAACGACAAATTATTTTTTTTTTTATTTTAAAAATTTGATTCATGCAGTGTTTAATTTTTATTTTAAAGATGTTAGCCCAAAATTCACCTAAGGGTAATTTTTTGTAATTTAGTATTTCTTCAGTCTTGAAGGGGTCTACGTTATTAAAAACAATATATAAATTATGCTGGAGGCTGGTGGTTATCTCCTACTAAACTAAAAACTGACCAATAACAAAAAAAATAATACAATAATAATAAAGTGACGCATATCTTGGATTTATTGAAACAAGAAAACACAGAAATAACAAATGCATAGATTTCTAATTTTTTTAAGTATGGGCTAGAAGTTTAAATGGAGCCACTCATAAAATTTTGATATTTTAAAAGGTAATAGATTTTTCCTCTTTTCTTAAAAGTCGTAATAACGTACTGGTGTAACTTTTTAGTAATAGATTTGTTACAATTGTAATAGCAACGGCAACACTGCAATACATACAACATAACCAAACTTAATTTTCTTCTTTTCTTTCTATTAGGATTTTGACCTACTTTTTAACCTGGTTTTTAACATGTACGTTAAAAAACAGAAATTTAACTGTGCGTTATTTAGTTAAATTACGGAATAGCATTTTGGGTTAAAATTACAAAATTTAACGTACGGTTAATATTTAACATAATTGATACAGAATTACCACTAATGTCTTGATAGACTCACGGTAAGGGCACACGTCCGGAAAACGTGATTATGTGGGTTCGACTGCCGCCAATGACAGGTTTTTTTCAAATATACAAATATTTGATTTCACATTAAAAAAAAAACATTTGAGGTCCGGGGATGGTTTTAATAATTCGTAAGGGGATTTTTGAGATTTGTTTCAGGAGTTTTCAAATTTATTTATTAATATTATACAGAGTGAAATGTATCTAATTTCCAGAACCTCCTCGAGTTTAAATAAAAACAAAGAAACGGAATATACGACTTACGAGTATCTTTTTCGAAGAAAATCGGATTTAAAAAAAAATATTTTATAACATAAAATGCCAAGAGGAGGTTTTGAAGTTTCAGTTTTGAGCAGATTCTATTATGATCGCCTAATAAGGATTTATGAATTACAATCACTTGTAAAAAATTTCCAAAAATTCCCCTTTTGATTTTTATACTTCGTGTACTAAACGATTAGTCAATATTTCATATTTTTATTGGCGTGTTTCTTGTAGTTGAAATATCTTATGCATTCGTTTTCATAAAATTTTTAATAGCATTAATACAATATTATTAAATAAGAATAAATTTCCTGACCGTAGTAGAATTTTAAATAAATAAACAGTTCTTTGTTTTTTTCGGTCAAATAGTTATATATTTTTTATATTTTTAGCACTACATATGTTTCGGAAAATATAATTTTTCCATAGTCTGGTGCAGTTAATTTATAAAAAGTATAAAATTTTTAAAATAATAGAACCCCATCTTTCTATTTCACATTGTGTGAAGGTATATAGTAGGGAAACAAAAAGATGACTTTTTACAAATTTTAAATTTGTAAAAACTCAAAATTGTATTTTCCAAAACATATATAGTGCTTAAAATATAAAAAATTAAAACTGTTTGACCGAAAAAACAATTTTTATTAAATTTATAAAAAATATTAATACAATTATTTTTCTTTTCAGATATTGATGTAGACTGTCTAAAAGAAGCACCATCGTTAGAATCCATAGATGTCACTAACAACCCTTTAGCGCCGAGGATTCACGAACAACTTTCAAAACTTACTCATTTACGGATATCTCTCTCACCTCGACAAAAAGAAGACTGGGAGGATCTTACTATATAATTCTAATTTAAATATTAATTGTCTCAAAATGCTATAGACTGGAAAAGCCAAATGTTGATTAAAGTCAGTTATAGCTAATTTATGGTGCTACTTACCTAGATAGTCGAAAATCTAGTAGGCATATATATATTTGTATTTTTATAAAAGGTATTTTTAGATATAGGTGATTTAAAACGTACTAATTTTTATGATACTTATTTTAAAGTATCGATGTGTGAACATTTTTGTACTGACTTCCTACTGAGTTGTAAAAACCTATTTGACATTGATACCGGTTACCATCTAGTCATATTTTGTGATAGAAATGATTTATGTTCTTCTGAGTGATTGGATGCCCGTTTACAAGTGTCAAATAAAAGATTTAGCTAAATTTTGTCTATTTATTTATAACTACAGCATGCGCCGCGTCTCATTCTCATGCGTTGTGCAAAATATGGAAATTCACTTTTATATGCTAACAATTTCTTGTTTTCACACCTTTAATTTATGACAAACTCACTCGTTAGTATTTACAACAAAAGTTTTAGGTTGGGGTAACCCTTCCCAAAAACCTTCTTCCACTTGAACCATTACATTATATGAAATTCACTCTTAAGAAAAATATATAGATAATGAAAATTAATTAATTAAATAAATATATCTTGCTACTGCAAATACTTTAAGGATGGATAGAAAAATAGTATATTGTCTGTTTAAACCACTGTAAACTGTAAAACCTTTTATGATAGAGACAACAGACCAATTGTATAGCGCACAAATCTGGTATATGTAAAAGCCGCTTTTCACGGAGCAATTTTGTTGCAAGTTTCATGCTATGCAAGTTTGCTGAACGAAATTTGTAATTACTGCGCATGCCCACGGGCATGTTTGATGAAAGTTTCATGCCATAAAATAAATAGAATACTTGTTCTATTTTTTTATAGTTTCCATGCAAATTTGACGCAATTTTATAGTGATTTTTGATATACCAACCTGAAAAAAAGTTACCATTTTGTTTACTCTGTTTCCTGTTTCATCTCCGCATCAACTGTAAATAGAATTCGAGAGACGCTAAAATGTTGGTTCCCACCTTATCGAGACTGAGGCCCACAAGGGTAAACTCGTAGAATAACAAAAACGTGAAATGATTTAACTTGGAACGAAATACCGAAAGCCGATAGTAGTATTAACACGTTGAATTTTTTGGTTTGTGAAGCATTGGCATTACTTAGGTTAAACCATATGATGATTTTCACAAGTCTTGATTTTTAAAACTATTCTATATCGCCTTTTGATTAGGGTTTAAAAAATTGTTCGAGCAATTTATGCAATAATAATTGGTCCCTTTACCTCTTAAGCCTGTTCATGTAAAATATTTGGGCTTCTTACTTCGCCTATTTATATTCTATTAATAAAGGACAGAAGGATGAGTATTGCAACTATGTTAAAAGAAAAAAATTGGCTTTCAGTTCAGAATTATGTTCAGTACATGACTGATATCAATTTATAAAATAAAAATGACATAGTACCATCGCATCAGATCTATTAGAAAAAATTTAATATAAATAAATGTATTCAAAAGTAATCTCAAACAATACTTGATAAATAAACAGAACGGATATACTTTGTTGTGATAATACTCTTTATACCTGCCTTTTAGTATTAAGTATTTCCCTTAATTTATTGTTATTTTACCCCTCGTTTTATACGCATTTATTATAGATTATTTGTTTTGAGATCATGTACTTTATTTTAAAAAATTACTTGATGTTATATTAATACCACTTACTATGTTTAAATTATTAATAGTTTTGCGAAGCTAGGTTATAGCATCTTATAGCCACAAAACTATTTTTGTGTTTAAGTAGATCCATAGAGAGCAATGTAATTTACAAAGGCTTTCGTTCAACATACAAATAAATGACAACTTTATAATTAAAATGAAAAACAACAAAATATCTCGGTATCATAAATGATCCAAATTTTAAAAAAGTGCTTTGTATAAGAACATTATTATCTGTCTTGCTGTACCTTTATTTATGGAAAGCCTGAATTGAGATATTTATTATTTGCAATAAATATCAAAAGAAGTATACATTTTTAAATAATTTGACATTTAAGAGCCATTCACATATCACACTTGACATCTTGATACTTGACAGGCACAGCCAAGCATTATTTTGATTTTTGCCAAATAAAATGGCCGGTTAATTATTCTATGGGGTTGCGACAGAGAACCAGTAAATTTGATGGTGTTTTTGTGGCTAGGGGCGAAATAGTAGTACGCTTAATAGCACCACCATAAAAAGTCATTTTTAAGAAACTGCTTATATATTTTTCATAAATTGGCAGGCCTGGCGACTAATTTCGAATGAAGATAGCCTCCAAAATGGCTATATGGTTGCAAGTATGAAGGTCGCAACCCGCCTTAGAAATTTCACCTTTACTATCAACAGCTGTTGTTTGACAGGTCGTTAGAGAATGTTTGCAATTTATGGAATGTGAAGACTTCCACTGAATTCTTCGGTATCGGAGGACAGTCCTTCAGTCCCTGTTTGAGTTCTTCCTTGAAAGCTCCCCAGTTACAGGTCCTAGGATTACGATATGTCTTCTCACCCGAGGTTTTAGTACCTAGCTCAAACAGGATATGTCTATGGTCGGAAAGTGACGCTTCTTGTGAGACGTGCCACTTCCTCACTAATGAACATGCCCGTTGTGTACCTAGGGTTATATCAATTACCTCCCTTCGCACAGATGTTACGAAGGTTGGTTCATTTCCAACGTTTGCAACTTCTAGTTTATTGGATGCAATAAATTCCAGAAGAGCTTCTCCTCGGTTATTAATGTCAGTGCTTCCCCATACTATATGGTGAGCATTGGCATCACACCCTAGAAGAAGTTCGATTTTGGTTTTTTCACAATGACTAACCAGTTCTCTCACCTCCTTGGTGGGGGGGAGCCCAGGTTGGTCATATGGTAGATATACGGATCCAACAATCAGATTAGTTCCTCCGTCTAGCTTTAGGGATATTGTCACTAGGTCATTTGTACAAAATTCCTATAGCGGAAACACCTTCAAGCTTTTATTTGCAATAATGCAGGTTTTTGGGTATCCAGACGCTGAATAAATCAGGTCATAGTCCCCTGATATATGCAACCCTCTAATTCGCCCCTTGTATATAAGAGGTTCTTGGATTAGAGCAAGATCAATGTCTTGTTTTATTATACATTGTTGTAGGACAGCTATTGCCGCCCAACAGTGATGTATATTTGCTTGGATTACCTTCATATTTTTTTTTTAAAGTATCCCCTACTTCTTGATCTAGGGTCCTCTTCTTCCTCCGGCACGTCAGCCGGGTTAGATAGGAATTTTGACTTTAGAAATAATTGGAATTCCTAAAATTGTCACATAAGGAATGCATAGGCGGATTTTAAGAAAATTGTTATTAAAGTAGTTAGGATGAACCGAAAATTCTGAAAATTAATAGGGTTCTAAGTTGGAAGTAATTATTCAAGAAAATCAAAACCGCAAGTCAATCAGAACTTTTGTTCTAGAGTTACCGTGCAGGCATACATACATACATACATACATACAGACGACCAGACGAAATTTTTTTTTTTTTGATTTTCGGATTCTGAGTGAAAAAAAGTTTTAAAAAATAGGGGTCCGAAAATTTTTTCGTCTGTACGAATGCAATACTGAGGCCCCATAGGAAGGGCCTCAATAATAGTTTCATACAAATCAACGGCGAACAGTATTACAATTTAAAACGCATCATTTAAGTTACAGGCTTTGTTACTGTTTGCCTGATGTTATATTTAATCATGTCAACAAAACCGAAAAGGTAAGAAACTAATAACTGTGACTAATAGGTTATGTTATTAAAATGGTACACTTAAATCTATTTTAAAATAAAGAAGATAATATAATTAAAAAAAAGAAAGATGAAGATAATATAATTAAAAAAAGAAAGAGGAAGATGATGAATTAAAAATCTACTCAAGGTTACTGGACAAGTAATTGCCAGTCAAAGAAGAGTAGCTTCTGAGACACAAAAACCCTCAGAAAATCTTTTTTGCCAATACTTGCAAACAGAAATTTCCAAGATTTAGGATGAAGATATATTAGATGATCTTAAAGAAAATGTTTCTGCTCAGCTGTTTGTTCCACGCAAAAAAATATAAATCGGCTACAAAATAGATTTTATAAAATTATATTACATGTTTACAGTTTCAACTAACATAAATTTAATTATAAATAAAATAAATCCTTGTTTTAATTTAATTAAATAATTTCATTTTGCCATGATACAGTCCCAACCGTGTTAAAATATTCTTTATACTCTTCTCTGTTATTTATTGCAATTTTCTTCGGTCTGTTTCCTGCTTGAGCACTTAAACCATTGAGTAAGGTGAATTTTCTGTCTATTTCATTTTCTGGATCAGCTCCCGTGTACTTATTTTGCAGGTCGTGACTCAAAAGATTATGTAATATACAGCAGGCCTTTGTTATTATTTTTACTTTTTGTGGCTTTATTGCGTTTACATTTAATAGAATCCGAAACCTATTGGCTAAAATTCCAAATGAATTTTCAACCACTCTTCGAGTTCTGCTCAAACGGTAGTTGAAATTTCTTTCTTCCTTGGTTATATTTCTTAATGGATAGGGTTTTAAAATGTGTTTACTTAAGGGAAATGCGGAGTCGGCTACAATGACAAAGGGTATTTTTTTCTCTGGAGGGAATATTTCTGTCTTCGGGAAAGTTAAGAGCATTTTTATCGATGGCTTGGCTTAAATCACTCTCTCAAAATTCCACCATCCGACATACGGCCATTTACACCAATATTGATGTATATTGAGCATCAACTAGAGCTAGTAGCATAATACTATGCCCACCCTTCCCAGACAGCACACGACATCTTAAAGACGTCTGTTTTATGTCGTTTTAGGACACATAAATAGACGTCTTAAAGACGTCTTTTAAATGCCTATCTATTTAAAAAATATAAAAAATAATGTAAACATTAAAAAAAGTACTGGCTTACCTGTCATTTCTAATTTCACAAAATATAAATTTTTTTAAAAATTTTTTTTATTAATTTACTTATTTTTTTTTACTTATTCAGGAGTATTTGTTCATTAGAGTAAGTAAATATTTGATAACATAAAAATAATAATAATAAATATAACTCTAAATAAAATTAACAATTTTACGGGGTGGGTGGCTCAGTGGTAGAGTCTCTGCCTATGGATCCAGGGGTGCCGGGATCGAATCCCACCATTGACCGGGATTTTTTCATTTAATTTTATTATTTGAAATTAATTCTGATGCCTTGGTAGGATTCCCCACTCGACCATTCACTGTTGGGTTCTAATTAACAGTCCTAAAGTGGCGCTGGGAAACAGTAACAAAGCATACCCAGAACACGAGGCGAAATAACCCTGGTAGTTGAAGCCAAGTTCCGGTCAAGTTGAAAGGAGCGCGTAATTCAATTTGTCATAATATCTTTTGTTTTTTTTTTATTCTCCGACCGCCCTTAACCCACACTATGTACTGAAAATCCTATTTAAGCGAATTTGACAGAGTGAGCTATAATGCATAATATTTTACACAGCGCAGTTAAAATTATTGCAACCCAGACTGGCTCAGAAGAGCATCAGACAGAAGATTAACCATTAACGAAGGAAAAATAAAAAAAAAAAAAAATTTGTAATATTACTTTTTTTACGAAATGTTTTTGTATTTTGTTAATAATAATGTTTATAGAAAATATGTGTTCTATTTTGTATAGAAGGAATTTACAAAAGCTTTTAAAACTAAATCCGAGAGTACGTCTTAACAATGTCGAAAAATAGACATATTTAAGATGTCTTAAGAACGTTACCTTTTGTAACATCAGACGTCCTAAAGATGTCTTTAAGACGTCTGGCCGGCGTCATAAGACGTCTTGTAGACGTCTGTCATGTCTCTGACAGACTCTTATGGACGTCTTAAAGATGTCTTTGTGCTGTCTGGGTTATAATTGAATCGGTGAGTGAAAGAACAGTACAAGTGCCAAAAACGGTAATTTTAACTGAGATAGGCAAATTGTTTAAAATTCATAGGCCTATCACATAGCGAAAGAATAATACACAGACCAACATCATACGAGCAATGTGGGCTTGTTCATTTTCGGTTGAGTGAAAGAACAGTACAAGTACGGCATGTACTGTTTTTTTACTCAGTAGCCATGTCGTTTCGTAGACAAATTTAACACAGATTTCAAAAACTGGTGGTCGCACTTTCATAAAAAACCTCTAAATCAGCTGATGAACAAAAAGCTAATTTTGTCATTCCACAGTACAGCCAGTTTACATACACTGGTAAAACTTCTGGATATGTTACTACAAGTGCCTTCATAGGCGGTTTTCTCTCGCACACTTTTATGTGTGGGGCGCATTAGACTGATATCAAACCTAATGCCAATCTGCAGTTACCCTTATGGCGGGCATACACGCTACGGTCTGTCTGTGCAGGTATGCCTGCACAGGTAGACATGCACGTTACGACATAAGGCCGACCTGCGCAGGCATACCTGCACAGGTAGGCTTATCCGGTAGACCGTTACGTGTATGCTCATCATTAGAAAAGGCATACTCAGAAGTTGTCCCTACTAACGTAAAGAAGATAGCCAATATAAAGATAATTTTATTCTACTTTAGTGATGAAATCCTAGAGTTTTACTACCATATATTATTTCTTGGAAAGTCAAAAATGAAGCTTCTGATTAAAAAATTACAAATAAGTTTGTTAAATAATAATCAATAAAGCTACCAAAAAAAATTAAAGCATTTTTTTTAAATTGAGTGAAAGAACAGTATAACTGCAAGTCATTTTTTTCAAATATCATATTTTGCATAATTTTATTTTTAAATTTATGTACATATTATTATCGGTTAACAAAAATTCTATAACTTCACAATACATATTTAGGCCGAATAACCCATAGTTCTCCTTTAAAATAGTTTTTTTTTTCTCAAAATGGTCATTTTGGATATGTATTGTTCTTTCACTCACCGATTCAATTATAGTACGTGGATCCTTCTTGAGATTGGGCTTTAATTAATATATCGATTGTTAAACGGCAGAAGGTCCTAAGCCACAGATGTAAATATTTTTAGGAGGAAGGAAATTTAGATTTTAAATTTGTTAAAAAAAAAAAGGTTTCCGCTTTTTTACATATTAACCATCTATACATATAGTTTGTTTAAATAAAATTTTCGATCATTTTAAATACCATTTTATGCCTGAAAATCGAAAAAATAATGGTTAGGGCTTTTTTTCCTTAATGTATTTGGGTTGTTAAGATTTTTTTTTGTGGGATAGGTCTTTTTAATAAGCCTCATAATAATTTACTATTAGTCCCTGATTTATTGCTAACAGAAAAAACAGGAATTCAATATTTTTATTTAAAATTGGAATTAAAAAAAAAAACTTAAATATTATTCAAAGTTGCTAATGATGTCTTCTTCATCGGATTCTGGTAAAGTGACAGGAGTATCTTTTGCAATGAGGGATGGGATTTATATTCTTTATGGTATTTTTTATCAATTATATTTTTTCGCACATTTCCAATAGACTATCATATTTTTTAAGGGGTATTTCTTGACTCTTTGTGTATATACAGGTACTAACTCTATGTTTCTTGATAGTCTTAAATTTTCAAGAGTTACAAACTTGACTTCATCTTTAAGTATTTGCATTGTACCTTGTTTGAGCCCTTCAAGAATATCATTTGTCTAATATCCGCATATTTTGCGTCCACATCTTTTTTAATTTTTTCTGGCCAATTTTTTTTTTGAAGTGCCTTAAAGTCGTAAATGTCACCATATTTAAAAGAAATGACCTCATAAGGGTGTGGATTTACTCCTGAATTTCGTAAGATAGTAGGCCATTCACTTGGAGCCCAGATTAGCATTTTTTTGTGTAGGTTTCGATACAAGCATGAACACTATCTACTTGCATGTAGGTATGTCCAGGTACTAAAAATGTAATTTTTATTGTTTTTACATTAACAGCCATCTTCAAAAAATAGGCTAACATAGCCATTACCACTCCGTTTTTGTTTTGCCCAGTGAAGAGTCGCAGAACAAAGAAATTTCTGAAACGCCGTTGGACAAATCTACACGACGAAGGTAATTGTACAGTACGGAGCTTACTTCGTTACTTCCCCGCTTACCATCGGCCTCACCCCAAATGTAACAATATGCATTTTGTGTGCCGGCTTCATAAATTGTTTCGTTGTATACAGAATACCTACAATAATAAAAAACTCTAATATCCAGCTCACCATGTGGAGTACTAAGAACCTTCTGCATATCGAAGATACTACAGAGAAACCTATTTGAATTTAATTTTTTCTGATCAATTAAATATTGTTTCTGGGCCAACTCTTTTTCCTCAACATGAATGTTGAAATTTATTGTTTCATCGTTAGAGGTTTCTTGTTTTTTGTAACCAATACAGATACTGCATTTATCTTTACGAGGTACGTGAAATCCTATATTAAATTGCGAAGTAAAAATCTTTCTAAATACTGGTTCACTGACAAAAGAACCTCTTTTGTTTTCAAACCATTCTTTATATAACCTGTAGTCTTTTAATATTCTTAAATTCAGCTGGTAAATATTTTTTGGAGGTGCTGCTGCGGCAATAATGCGACGGCACTGCTGGAAGATCCTTTATGTACTCACTTGGTTATAAGTTTCTTCTTTCGTTTTATTTCTCGGAACAGTATTTTTTTCTCGCATATCTTTTTTCGGTGTTCTTAAGTATGTTTTATTTTGACAGTTTTCTTAACCGTTTTTCCTTAATATTTAGAGTTGCCAAAAGGAACTGTCTGCATATGTGCACTTTTTCTTCTCCTATTGGGATGGTGTATACCTTTGTAAGTGTCCTCCTGCTATTTTAATTTTTTGTATACTTGCGTTTTTTTGATGAAAAGTCAATGCATGAGAGTAAAAATGAACTCTGAGCATCTCCTAATTTCCAAAATTGTGTAAATATTTCTTGCCTCTCATCTTCGTTAAATTTTCCTGTACAGTTGTTCTGGCAACCCCTGCAAGGGATTTCTTGAACTTCTTTTGCCGGTATCAGCTTTTGTTTTGAAGAAATATATTCTTTACCTTCTGACCGTAATTATTTCGCTGCTTTTCTTTGGTTAATTTTTTTGTGTTTACGTTTACCATCTTCGCCTACTTTATTCCATAGTCCATCTTCAACTAAAGGCGGTGTATTATTAGGAACTGTAACATTAATACTCTCATCATCAACTTCATTGAAATTTATTCTCTTTGGAAGAATATTAGCTGTTTATATCTCTCTCTTATTTTTCGTTCTGTGAATAGTGTCGTTGTAATCAGATAAGTCGCTACTATTTTAATCGGGCCTATACGGGTCATCGTCGTGTTCTGAATAATCCTCACCTTCCAGTGATTCTATTCCAGTTTCAGAATAATCTTCCTTTTGTTTTGACGGCCCTGCTTCACAATAACCTTTGTGCTCTGAAGATCCCTTCGATTCGGTCAAGGAAGAAACTACTTTTTCTGCATAGTTAAGAAGTTATTCATCGTCATTAAATACAATTTCAATTATTACTGCACACAAACTTTTCTTTTGAAATTTTTTCGGAGTTTTCTTGGTTTTTCACCCCAGGATTTTCTATATGGTTTTCATCTATAGGCTGCTCTCGGTCTTCGTTAGGGCTTATTTCTTTGAGGTCTTCTTTGGGACTATCTATAGTATTTTCCTTAATGATTTCTGTATGGTGTTCTTTCTGGCTTTATTTGGTGGATCCCATCATATTATTATCTCCGCAAGTTTCTTTGGGACTTTCTCTTACATTTTCTTGGCAAACGGTATCAACTAATTGCGCCATTTTAACTATCCTCATACTTCTAGTATTGTGACTCGATTTTATTTTAAATCTGAAACAATTATTTATTAGTTCGTATACGCTATTTTTTTAACAATTTTCAATTTAAAGTGGGTATTTCTAAAAAATCTCAAGAAGCAGGCCTATCCATCACAAACATTAAATAGTCAAAAGACCTAAGCCACTGATATTGAATATACTAACATATTTAATTAGACATAACCCTCAGCCATATAATGGTATTTTCTTTGGTAATTCTATGCTCAATTTTTTTTAATAATTTAATAAAAGTGGCCTCATTCATACGTAAAATTTTTTTAAAGCTTTTCATATCACTACAATCCGTTAACTCATTAACAATATTTAAATTTCCAAGTCTTCCATCCAGTCAAGGTTTCACCCAATGTGCTTTTAGCTTTCTTTTCTTGCGATTTGTCCTATTTTTACTTACTAATACACTTGCAATTGCACATGTTAATAATAATAGATCAATTTGTGGAGGTGCGATTACGAAAAAATACAATTAACAAGAAACAAAAAAAGTGAGTTAGGTTTTATCTTAGATAAAAGAAACAACAGATGATGCATTTCATTCATAAAGTATGTTTTGTTTGGTCCCAATCATCGGAAAAGAGAAAGAAGATATTTTATGCGGATCGAAAGAAGACAGACTGTAATCGAAAATCTCGTTTGGCAACGCTGCTGTTGTACGCAACTAAAAGTCTGTTGATACCAGTGGCGTATCTTATTAAAGATAAAATCATAACTAATTATAAAAAAATAATGAAATACTAACCGATATGGTGTGCAATAAACTTTATAATGGTTTAAACTTTAAAACCGATTGGATTTGGTTTAAGGGTATGAAGTTCAGTGGAATGTAGGTATAAAGCTTAAAAACACTATTTTTTCCAAAAATAATACATTTATTACATATAAAGATGTTAAATAAAATAAAAACAAGATAAATAAATCAAGATTTATTTTGGGGTTAATACTAACAGTTTTACAAATTGGTAAATGAGAGATTTTTAAATCAAAATTTAGATTTTTAACACTACTAAATTTATAAAAGTTATTTAATCAATAAATTTACCATACTTATATACAAGGTGGGGATTTTAAATGGAACGCTTCTTATAGCTAATCTGGTAATAAGAATTTTGTTAAATCCGAAAACACGTAGAACTGTACAACAATAATCCTATTCATTGATAGTTTTTAACTTATTAAACTAGATAAATTATCTTCTGGTTTCTTACTAGAGCTGTCAAAAATACTGATACTGGAATCAGAGCTGTAACAGAGTATTCAGAACTTTTAATGTAAAGGTAAGTATAAATTTTGATTAATAATAAGGTAGTTCATGAAAATAATCAAAGAAAGGCATGTAATATGAGTTTATAAAAAAGTTTGTCCTTGTTAAGCACCTACAAAATTTAAAGAACTTACAATATAAAAAATTATTTGTAAGATAAACTACCAACTTTCATCTTAAAGGATAAACACTTAAATGAACATTTCCGAAACATAATTAAGAAAGTTTTTAGTTATCTAAATGAGCTTTCTCGAAACAATGAACTTAGTTTTGGCAGTGCTCCAGGCTTGAGATATGTATTTGCTTTTTGAAGAATATTAGGATCAAAATGCTCCGAGCATAACACTCTTTTTTAGATACCTTCATTTTCTACAAGTGATAGCCAAATATTTCTTGTATGCCTATCAGTTGGGAATCTAAAAATCAAGCATAGGTATATTTATTTCAGTACTGTAGAACAGACTAAAGTGTTTCTATTAATTACAATACTTTGCGAAATTAATAATGTTGAAAGATCAAAAAAAAAATAATAGTAATACAAAATAGTAGATAATACATGTGATATTACGGCAAACATCTTTAAATCTACACTACTGAACTATGCAATACATCATCACCTAACCTTACTTACTTATGAAAAGATACTTCAGCACCCACATTTTCCAGTTTATGCTCAAAATGCACTCGCGAACCATGTTGTTAGCTATACACAAGCCGACATTTTTCCAAAAAAGTCTAAAGATTAACAAAAACACCCAATATGCAACAATTTACTGGATCGCAACGTCGCAAACTATCGATGGATAAAATACTATACGTGACGTCCGTGACGTATAGTATGAATAAAACAAAGTTATTTTAAATTGCGATGGTGTCACGTTTAACGCTTTTAAAATCCTTGCATTTATTTGCAGGAATAATAATGGTGTTTGCAATAGTTTATCTTAGTATTTGCAAAGTTGATATTTAGCAAGCGTGTGTATGTAAAAACGATAGATACAAAAATGCCCTGCCTAATGGTGTAAAAATAGGTGCTGCTAAAATATCAATTCTGCTGAAAGCAGTTAAAATAGATTAATCTACTTTGTACACATTTTATAGTTTTTTGTTTTGTTACAAGTCATTTTATTTAGAGATTTACTATAAGAAATGTTTCGGGAAATATTGCAACATCTCTGACCACAAACACTGCACTAGGTACGAAAATTAATTGGTGGGGACGCTTGATGTGTCGCAATATATTTTGAAACTATTCTAATAAATAAAACTTGTTGCTATTAGTGAGTTATAGGTAAAAATTATTTTTAAATATGAAAGGGATAAACTACACAGCCTGACAACAGCGCACCAGAAAACGCATGTCGGTTCATTTACGAAATAGCTACGCGCTACGTTTCTTTGCAATGTATGACCGGGTTTTAAATGTAAATAGAGGAGCTTTGGGTTTTATCAACAGAAAACAAGTCAAAATATTTGGGTTGGCAAAATTGTTTAAATAAGCAATATATCTCCACAAACTTGCACCATGAAAATGAAGCAATTTAAATATGGTGCAATTTGGCCTTCTGCAAGATATGACAGCAAACTTGCATAGAATTAAACTTGCAACAAAATTGCGCCGTGAAAAGCAGCCTTAACACTGTCTAAAGATGATAAATAAGATGGTGTTTTAGCCACTATTATTTTATGGCAAATAGTTGTTCTATTCCCGGGCATTTAAATATTTGGTTTTTCTATTTTCATTTGGGCGTATAATATTAATTATTTATAGTTTTTTAGTTGCCTTTTTTATAACCACGCGAGGTATATTAATATAATGTTAAAATTTAAACATCTATGGGATATTTTTAAGTATACCGTTTTAAAAATATATCAGAAAAGTCTCTATAAAAAACGTTGCAAAAAAGACTGGACAATGTTTTGTGTTTAGTGTGTTGAATCCAAATATTCTTATTTGGAAAACACATATACCATAGCAACAACAGACAAAAGAATCTCCAGTTCAGTCAAGCAATTCGTACTAAATGGAGTAATAAATCCCATACCTATGTGGGAAAAAGGAAGATGGTAATATGTGTAGTTAGTGAATATCGCACCATTTCTACACGAGCAGTACAGGTAGAAACGAAAGTCCCACCTATTTCTCTTTATTTGAGAAAAGCGTTGGATCTTTTATGAAAGGCCAAGAACAATGTGATGCCTACAAGAGATAACAGAAAAGATGTGACCTAACGAGGAACGAGACAGATGTCAAAATAGGAGTCAAATTAAATGCCGTTTACATTATGGATATTATGATAGATAAT